TCCAACCCCCCTGCCATGGGCAGGGACACCTCCCACTAGAGCAGGTTGCTCAAGGCCCCATCCAGCCTGGCCTTGAACACTTCCAGGGATGGGGCATCCACAACTTCCCTGGACAACCTGTTCCAGTGTCTCACCACCCTCATAGTAAAAAATTTCTTCCTGAGATCTAATCTGAATCTTTTTTCTTCCAATTTCCACATTTTTCTACCCCAGAGGCAGATATAAAATGGTTCCTATTTGGGCTTCTTGGTGTTACTGATGCTATTGAAAAGCTGAGATTCGTTTTCTTGAATTTCACTGTGGAAACATCAATAATCTAACTGGTAAATGAAGCTTGTTCCTTTTTGCCTGAAGGCCACCGCTCTAAGTGCGTGGTATCACCTGAACTTAGTTCCAATAGGTGATGGAAGGGGGCAGAAACCTCCTGCGAGGGGGTTGGAACTCAATGATCTTGAAGGTCCCTTCCAACTCCAGCCATTCTATGATTCTATGATTTTCAAGAATTAAGAAAGAAGGGTCTAGAAGAGGAGGAGCCAATTCAATGAGAGAAGGATGTCTCCTGTTGTTCTAGAGCGCTGCTCGCTGACCCTTTCTCAGTGTTGCTGAGCTCCTGATCCATCTTATAGTCAAGTAGACTCTGTAAGATGAGGATCACTCCCGTATGGTGCCTGGAGAAGTTAAGAAAGTGGAATGACCTCACATTCCTCATAGAATGGTCAAGGTTGGGACCCATGGAAAGGTCCCATGGAAGGGACCTTTCAGATCATTGAGCCCAACCATCAACCCACTACTGACAAACCCACCACTGACCCATGTCCCTCAGCACCATGTCTGCCCGGCTTTGAAATCCCTCCAGGGATGAAGACTCCACCACTGCCCTGGGCAGCCTCTGCCAAGGCTTGACAATCCTTTTGGTGAAGAAATTTTTCCTAATCTCCATCCTCAACCTCCTCTGGAGCAACTTGAGGCCGTTTCCTCTTGTCCCATGGCCTGTTCCTTGGAAGAAGAGACTTTCTAATACCTCAGTCTGTTTTACCAGTAAATAATTCCATTTGCTGATTTCACCTCCTTTTGCTTGTCAGTACTAAACTCTAAAAACAATTTGGCTTTTTGCCTTTTGCTTCATTCTAGAGCAGGTTCTCTAGGAAGTTATCCTCCAGCTTTTTCTACAGCTTGGGATGGTTTTAAAGGCGCTGAGTACTTTCTCAGCCACTTTAGTCTCAGATCCAGACAGTGATAAGAGCACAGTATTCCTGGTATGTTTGGATGGAAAAAAAAAATGGTGAAAAATAATATGCAGCCAGAACCCACATCTGTTTTGATTTACATCGTTCACTGTTTTGTCCAGTCTTTTCACCATGAAGACTTGAAACCACTGCATTAATTGCAACCACTGCATAGGAACAAGTCCTATGAGGAGAGGCTGAGGGAACTGGGCATGTTTAGTTTGGAGAAGAGGAGGCTGAGGGGAGACCTCATTGCCCTCTACAACTCCCTGAAAGGAGGGTGTAGAGAGGCAGGTGTTGGCCTCTTCTCCCAAAGGACGAACGACAAGACCAGAGGAAATGGTCTGAAGTTGGGGCAGGGGAGATTTAGATTAGATATTAGAAAGAATTACTTTACTGAGAGAGTAAAGTAATTACTTTACTGAGAGGCACTGGACCAGCCTGCCCAGGGAGGTGGTGGAGTCACCATCCCTGGAGGGATTTAAGAAACGTCTAGACATGGCTCTTCAGGGCATGCTCTAGTGCCCAAGGTTATTGGTTTATGGCGAGGTGTTGAGTGTGGGGTTTAGTTGGTGGGTGCAGTGTGTTTGGTGTGGTGTGGTGTGTGGTTTTTGTTTGTTTGTGGGTTTTTTGTGGTTGGACTCGATGATCTCAGAGGTCCCTTCCAACCACTAAGATTCTGTGATTCTGTAATTGCGTTGATTCCTAGATTCTTTGTACGTTATATTAATTCTCTGTCTTTTTTTTTTTTTTTGATTTTTTGATGCTGGATGAAGGGCTGTGGCACAAAAGAACCCTTCAGTCCAGTATTATGCAGGTGTTGGAGTTAACGCTTACGTCTCCGCGCACCTCTCCTTCCTGCCCGAGGCCGAGCGACGCGACACGCGACCTGTGGCTCGTACTTTCTGCCCCGAGTTCCAGCAACACCTTGAGTTTCCCTGCAACCTCATCATCCAGAAAAGCAGTGGAGAAGCCTCTTCTCTGGGAGAACTCTTGCAGTCTGCCAGTCTCCTCTTCTCTATCTACCATCAGAGCACCAAGTCAGGTAAGGACGAGCCATGACGATGAGCGAATGCTGTTGCAGAATGGTCCGGTCCCCCTTAATTTTTAGTTTAGAAAAGAGAACATTCTGTGCAATCCCTAATAGATGTAATTACCTAAACTGTCTTCTTAGAAGGCTTTGGGCGATACTGTTCTCCTTGTGCAAAGAATGAAGGTTTCTAAGAGTCTCAATCTCCCCTCTTCAAGTTTGAAGCCATAATGCCTTGTCCTATCACTCTACCCCCTGATCAAGAGTCCCTCCCCAGCTTTTCCATAAGATACCATTCCCTAAAATGACATTGTTTTTCACTCTGGGGAGAGAAAAGACAGGAGTGGAATGTTGATAAGGTCACTGAAGACAGGTTGAAAGAGTTGGGAGGGTTCAGCCTGGGGAAGAGAAGATACCATTCCCTAAAGATGACATTGTTTTTCACTCCAGGGGGAGAAAAGACAGGAGTGGAATGTTGATAGGGTCACTGAAGACAGGTTGAGAGAGTTGGGGGTGTTCAGCCTGGAGAAGAGAAGGCTCTGGGGAGACCTTGGAGCCCCTTCCAGTCCCTCAAGGAGGGGGCTCCAGGAGAGATGGGGAGGGACTCTTGATGAGGGAGGGGAGCCCTAGGAGGAGGGGGAAGGGTTTGACCCTGAAAGAAGGGAGATGGAGATGAGATGTGGGGAAGAACTTCTTTGCTGTGTGGGTGTTGAGACCCTGGAAGAGGTTGCCCGGAGAAGCTGTGGCTGCCCCATCCCTGGAGGGGTTCAAGGCCAGGTTGGAGGGGGCTTGGAGCAACCTGCTCTGGTAGGAGGGGTTGGGAGGTTGGAACTGGATGATCTTTAAGGTCCCTTCCAACCCAAACCATTCTATGATTCCATGATTCTATGAACTGACCAGGAGTTCCCACTGGTTACTTACTGTTCATCTGTGGAAATATCCCCTAAATGTTTCTCCAAATTCAGTGGTGGTGGAGCAGGTGTCCTGGAAGGGGTGTGCACTGGAAATGCCTACACACACACATGTTTTGTTCACACCCCTGTTTCTCACAAATTTTGGCCTGATACGTACTGGGCCATTTATTTTGGCTTTGTCCTTGTTTTGTGGGCTGGAAGTGTTTTCAGTAGGACAGCTCAGCCGTTTGCTCTTGAGGCAATAGGAAGGGGTGTGCACTGGAAATGCCTACACACACACATGTTTTGTTCACACCCCTGTTTCTCACAAATTTTGGCCTGATACGTACTGGGCCATTTATTTTGGCTTTGTCCTTGTTTTGTGGGCTGGAAGTGTTTTCAGTAGGACAGCTCAGCCGTTTGCTCTTGAGGCAACACAGCTTGCTTTCAAAGGAGACACTGAATCGTTTTAAATCTTGCATTCTAATTCATTGTCTTTGCAAAATGACTTATTTTCCAGCCGCTGAGACGTTGGCAGCTCGAGCAACAAGAGATTATCTTCTTGGGACAGTCAGGATTCCAACCAGAGACCTGCTGAGAAGAAGATCAGGTAATACAGCAGCCTTAAACTGCTGACGTTGTGGGTAAATGCTTAAATTGCTTAAAACAATTTTTATTCCCTTTTTGGGGGATTTTATTTTTTTTATTTTTTTTTTTAGACCGAAGTTACACATCCCCTCATTAAAAATCCTGTTTAAAAAAAGCTCATTTAAGGGTTGTTGTTTGAAGGTCACTTTTCAGGGTGCAGGATGTGTAGCAGCTGAATGAATATTAACCTCCTTAGTATTTTATTCAGAGCCATTTATTTTCTACTTTAAGATGGAAAGTCCAACAGTCGTAGTGTTGAGTGGAGGATTAGTGATTGCTTTTGAGACGTCGAAGCTGGAAACAAAGGCTATAATAGGTTAGAAAGCAGTTGCATTAAGTTTTTCTAAGCTAAATGTAAAATATCTCCTCAAAGCTCATTTAAGGGTTGTTGTTTGAAGGTCACTTTTCAGGGTGCAGGATGTGTAGCAGCTGAATTAATATTAACCTCCTTAGTATTTTTTCAAAGCTTTTTATTTTCTACCTTAAGATGGAAAGTCCAACAGTCATAGTGTTGAGTGGAAGATTAGTGATTGCTTTTGAGACGTCAAAGCTGGAAACAAAGACTATAATAGGTTAAAAAGCAGTTACATTAACTTTTTCTAAGCTAAATGTAAAATATCTCCTCTGTCTAGAGTTCGTTTGTAGTGATAATGTCTTGGAATAATGAAGTTTTCGATATCATCAATATCATCTTTCAATATCAGATCTACTGCTTTAATCTAAGTATCGTTCTAGTTTTCTCCAACATGAAGTTTTGGGTTTATTTTTAATGGGAAGAGAGGAGGAGGAAAAAAAATGAGAATCCCATCAATATCCAATTATAAAATCAGGCATATAGTTTTCTTGTAAAATGAGCATTGTTAAAGAAATGGAAAGTAAAACGACTTTGGGGTCGCAACTACCAGTGAGGTTTTCTGAGATTGAACAATTTGCTTCCTTTTCAAGTTAGAAATCAGAATCAGAATCTTCTAGGTTGGAAGGGACCTTCAAGATCATCTTGTCCAACCGTCAACCTAACTGACAAAAATAGACACCCACACAACAAACAAGAAGCATCACCATCACTAAACCATACCTCCCAGCACTACATCAGCCTGTCTTTTGAACACCTCCAGGGATGGTGCCTCAACCACCTCCCTGGGCAGCCCATTCCAATGGCTGATGACCCTTTCAGTGAAAAAGTTGTTCCTAATATCCAGCCTGAACCTACCCTGGCGCAACTTGAGGCCATTTCCTCTTGTCCTGTCGCCTGTGACTTGGGAGAAGAGACCGACCCCCACCTCTCTACACCCTCCTTTCAGGGAGTTGGAGAGAGCAAGAAGGTCTCCCCTCAGCCTCCTCTTCTCCAGGCTGAATAACCCCAGCTCCCTCAACCTCTCCTCATAAGACTTGTGCTCCAGACCCCTCACCATCTTTGTTGCCCTTCTCTGGACCTGCTTCAGCACCTCGATGTCTTTTTTGTGGTAGGGAGCCCAAAACTGGACACAATACTCATTTGACAAATTCCAAACTTTCACAAGAAATAAATACTTCAAGTCCTGGCCCTTCACGAATGACCAGAGAACAGAAAATTCTTTAGTGATGTTTTTAAGAGGGTAGGAGAAGTCTAATTATTATATTATTTTTTTTCTCCTGAAGGTATCACGGGCTGGTACCCGGTTACCCTGTCGGAAGATTTAATGCCTTCCTGCTGCACAAACCTCATGCAGGCCATCGTGGGAGGACTGGAACTTTCTGTCACCTTTGCTCATCAGGAGGACAGAGGACGTGTTCTGGAGGCCGCTCAGCTCTTGGGATGGAACAGCCAAGAAGACAGCGTGGATGAGAGCGACGAATGGGAGCAAAATGCTAATCCAGTGACCGTGACCATCTCAACTCCAAGAGTGTGGCTGCCAGTTCACTGTGTGCTGCTCGCAGGCCAGACCCACCTCAATAAAAGCACTTGTTGCTACCTCAGGTATAAGCTTTACAACCAGGAAGCCACGTGGACTTCGCTTCGGAGGCCCAAATTGAGTGAGGACGCCAAGAACGTTACGGTGAACTTTAAGCAAGCAAACAAGGTGACTCTGAGAAGGAGCCAAGGACTTCTTTGGTTCTTCAGAGAGGAGAAATTAGAAATCCAGGTGTGGTGGGCGTACGGTAAAGAAAATGATGTGGAAAGGCCACTTGATACAGATCGTCTTATTGGCTCTGCCTACGTGGACCTCTCAGCTTTAGCAGAGGGGTCAAGGACAACGTTAAGTGTTAGTGGTGAGTTCCTAAAGAACATCATCGTGTTTCTTTCCTCTTAATCGATATTTTCGTTTGGTTACTTCTCTAATTACTTGAAGCAAAGTACTTACAGCTTTGTTTTGTCCCGTGTGCCACACGCACTCAGCTTCTCCTTTCACTGAAGATAAACAAGGTTAAAATTCTCTGAATTCAAAACTTAGCAAGTTCAAACGGGTGAAAAATTGGGTGATGATCAGGAATGGGGAGAGCAATTAGCCTATGTGGGTTGATGATGAATATTGATGGTTGGACTCGATGATCCCAAGGGGCTCTTCCAGCCTAGATGATTCTGTGATTCTGTGATTTATTTAGGCTGTATCCATCAGCTACCACTTTGCAGGTAGATTTGTGGACAAGTCATTGGTTCTTCTTTGAAGAAACAAGAGATAAACCCAATTTTTATGCTGTGTATGTGTTGTATTCTCCACATGTCTATAAAATTATGCAGAGGCATTATTCCCAGGGCTCTTGGGGAGTTGATGTGCTCAGTTATCTGAGCTGCCAGTGAAGTTGTACCCAGTTTACAGAATCACAGAATGATTTGGGGTTGGAAGGGACCTCTGGAGATCATCCAGCCCAACCCCCTGCCAGAGGTGATCAGGAATGGGGAGAGCAATTGGCTTCTGTGGGTTGATGAAGAATATTTCTTCAGAATTACAGTTTGGGCATCATAATAGAGTTTGAAACAGAAAAAATAAGGTCTCTCCAGGAGCCTGAGGGCCTGCGGTCAGAGCACAGGACTAAGCACTGAGAAGGTTGTGGAAACTTCTCCTTTATTTGATTATTTAGGCTGTATCCATCAGCTACCACTTATGATCAGGAATGGGGAGAGCAATTAGCCTATGTGGGTTGATGATGAATATTGATGGTTGGACTCGATGATCCCAAGGGGCTCTTCCAGCCTAGATGATTCTGTGATTCTGTGATTTATTTAGGCTGTATCCATCAGCTACCACTTTGCAGGTAGATTTGTGGACAAGTCATTGGTTCTTCTTTGAAGAAACAAGAGATAAACCCAATTTTTATGCTGTGTATGTGTTGTATTCTCCACATGTCTATAAAATTATGCAGAGGCATTATTCCCAGGGCTCTTGGGGAGTTGATGTGCTCAGTTATCTGAGCTGCCAGTGAAGTTGTACCCAGTTTACAGAATCACAGAATGATTTGGGGTTGGAAGGGACCTCTGGAGATCATCCAGCCCAACCCCCTGCCAGAGCAGGGCCACCCAGAGCAGGTCCCACAGGAATGTGTCCAGGTGGGGTTTGAATGTCTCCAGAGAAGGAGATTCCACCACCTCTCTGGGCAGCCTATTCCAGGGCTCTGCCATCCTCCAAGTGAAGAAGTTCTTCCTCATGTTGAGATGGAACTTCTTATATTTAAGTTTGTGCCTGTTGCCTCTTGTCCTGTCCCCGGGCACCACTGTAAAAAGCCTGGCCCCATCCTCCTGACACCCACCCTTTAAGGATTTAGAGGTGTTGATCAGATCCCCCCTCAGCCTTCTCTTCTCCAGACTAAAAAGCCCCAAGTCCCTCAGCCTTTCCTCAGCAGAGAGATGCTCCAGGCCCCTCAGCATCTTTGTGGTCCTCTGCTGTCCCCTCTCCAGCAGTTCCCTGTCCTTCTGGAACTGGGGAGCCCACAACTGGTCCCAGTGCTCCAGCTGGGGCCTCCCCAGGGCAGAGCAGAGGGGCAGGATGACCTCCCTCCACCTGCTGCTCACACTCTTCCTGATGCCCCCCAGGATGCCCTTGGCCTTCTTGGCCACCAGGGCCCATTGCTGGCTCCTGGGCATCCTGTTGCCCTCCAGGACTCCCAGGTCCTTCTCCTCAGAGCTGCTCTCCAGCAGGTCACCCCCAACCTGTCCTGGTCCCTGAGGTTATTCCTCCCCAGGTGCAGGACCCTGCATTTACCCTTGTTGAACTTCATGAGGTTCTTCTCCACCCAACTCTCCAGCCTGTCCGGGTCTCGCTGGATGGTTGCACAGTCTTTTGGTGTGTCACCCACTCCTCCCATTTCTGTGTCATCACAACTTTGGGGGATTGTTCACCTCTTTTTAACCTTTCCAAGCTGTTACTTCTACCCACGAGCTGGCTGATACCTTGTCTAGAAATTCCATTGAAAATCAAAATTAATTCTTCTGGTCCAATGGGAGGTTGTTACTGTCATGAGCTGGACCAGCCATTTTCCAAGATCCTGGTTTTTCTTCAGCTTGTTTAACTGGTTCTTTGTGGATTCTCTTGCAGGGGTTTATCCATTGTTCAGGTCCAACGCTGCAGACCTGGCAGGAGCTGCTCTACGTGTTCACGTGGTCCTTTCTTCCACTCCTGCTCCTCTGCCCGGTGGAATTCCCCGTGCTGAGGAGTACAGCGACAGCGAAGATGAAGGCACCAAGAAAACCCCTGACCTGAGCCAAGAGGTCTCTGAAAATCAGGGTCAGAAACTGGGCGTTGTAAGTTCAGAAACCACCAATGGCAAACGAGAAGATGACCTGATGTTTCTGGAAAACGTCACCGATGGCAAACCACGAGAAGATGACCTGATGTTTCTGGAAAACACGGTTGCTGTCAATATCCTTGTGGAAAGAGCAATGCATCTAAGTTTAAAAGGTAAATCACCACCATTCTTTTTTTTCCCCTTCTTTCTTTTCTTTTTTTCCTCTTCTTTCTTTTCTTTTTTCCCTGGGATCTGTTCGAATCAGGTGCTGCACGGAGCAATTTAAATTCTCCAACTTTTTCCAGCACAGTGAATGGATGTGAGGACAAGAGGAAATGGGCACAAACTTGAACGTAAGAAGTTCCACCTAAACATGAGGAGGAACTTCTTTACTTTGACCCCTGGAAGAGGCTGCCCAGAGAGGTGGTGGAGTCTCCATCTCTGGAGACATTCAAACCCTACCTGGACACGTTCCTGTGCAACCTGCTCTGGGTGGGGTTGGACTGGATGATCTCCAGAGGTCCCTTCCAACCCTACATGACTCTGTGATGGGTTTTAAATTGGCTTCATAGTGTTGCAACCCCAAGAGCTTTGCGTCATCATCTAAGCCCGGGGGAAGCAGGAGATTAAACTCTTCAGCCTCTCTCTAAAATCCAAAATATAAATAATACGGTGTTCACTTACAGATGCCAACTGAGTCCTGAAGTTAAGCGTTATCTCAAAGACTCCTGGAAATTTGCATTATTAGCATATAATCAATTTGTAAAGCTGGCTTATTCATGCTATCTGGAGGCTGCCAGGCGTGGCGATGAGGAAGGGCGGTGGAAGGGCAGAGAAGTCCAAGCTCACCCAGGCTTGACACGCTCCTTCCCGCTCTCCGGAGCAGGAATTACAGTTTGGTGGCCAAAGGTCACCAAAGAATTGCTCTTTGCTTTTCAGTTTGTTCCAAATCTATTAAAATATTCCCCCCTAGAAGGTGATGTTTGGTTCTTGATGTGCAGGGATGGAATGCATGTGGTGAATTTGTAGGGTTTTGGAGTCTTAGAATCATAGAATCATTCAGGTTGGAAGAGACCCTTGGGATCATCAAGCCCAACCATCTACGCTACTCTACAAAGTCCTCCCCTACACCATGTCCCTCAGCACTGCATCTAAACGGCCCTTAAACACAGCCAGGGATGGTGACTCCACCCCCTCCCTGGGCAGCCTGTTCCAATGCCCTATCACTCTTTGAGTGAAAAATTCCTTCCTAATGTTCAATCTAAACCTGCCCTGTTGGAGCTTGAAGCCGTTCCCTCTCGTTCTGTCACTAATTACCTGTGAGAAGAGACCAGCACCAACCTCTCTACAGTGTCCTTTCACGAAGTTGTAGAGAGTGATGAGGTCTCCCCTAAGCCTCCTCTTCCTCATACTTTTGTTATTCCCTCAAGTTGCAAATGAATCTCTTGGTCAAAGATGAGTTAAACCCTTGAAGATCCATCAGGTGCTCTACCTTGGGCACCTCTAGCACTGCATGACTCGATCGCTTGGTGTTTGCTCAGCGCTTGGAGTCATCCAACCTTGTCTGGGCCACTGCACGCTGCCAAAATACAAATATGAGGAAGGAACTGACCTGAGGTGAGTTCACTGGAAATGTCTCTGTGAAGATCAGCTCCTTCACAGTCCAGGTGCTACGGCAGACAGGAAGACTCAGGGTTTTATTGCACGATAACACAACTGAAAGAGGCAAATAGAAGCCATGATTTAAGTGTAAGAAATTCTGATACTCTCTTCCCAGTGACAGGACAAGGAGAAATGGGCATAAACTTGTACATAAGAAGTTCCATCTCAACATGAGGAGGAACTTCTTCACTTTGAGGGTGGCAGAGCCCTGGAATAGGCTGCACCAGAGGGGAGGTGGAGTCTTCTTCTCTGGAGACACTCAACCCCACCTGGACACGTTCCTGTGGGACCTGCTCTGGGTGGACCTGCTTTGGCCATGACTAGATGATCTCCAGAGGTCCCTTCCAACCCCATATCATTCTGTGGTTCTGTGATACTGTGTCCCACAGGTGGCTTTTTTTAGAATGACAGATCACAGAATAGCAGGGGTTGGAAGGGATCTCTGGAAATCCATCTAGTCCAACCCCCTGCCAGTGCAGTGTCACCCAGAACAGGTTGCACAGGAACATGCCCAGGTTTGAATGTCTCCAGAGAAGGAGACTCCACACCCTCTCTGGGCACCCTCTTCTGGACCTCTGCCACCTTCACAGGAAAGAAGTTCTTCCTCATGTTCAGATGGAACTTCCCATGTTAAACTTTGTGCCCGTTACCCCTTGTCCTGTCACCATATTTTGTGCCCGTTACCCCTTGTTCTGTCACCAGGCACCACTGAGAAGAATCTGGCCCCATCCTCTTGTCACCCACCCTTTAAGTAGAATCACAGAATTGTCGAAACTGGAAGGGACCTTTAGGATCATGGAGTCCAACTATCAACCCAACACTGACAAGCCCACTACTAAACCATGTCCCTCAGCACCATGTCTGCTTTTGAACACCTTCATGGACTAGTGACTCCATCACTTCCCTGGGCAGCCTTTTCCAAGGCTTGATAACCCTTTCCATGAAGAAATTTCTCCTAATATCCATCCTAAACCTCCCCTGGCACAACTTGAGACCGTTCATAACCTTTGGAAACCTGATGCAACATTGTTTGCTACTGCAAAGTTTCTGATGGGACAGAAGAGGTTTCTTTTGATGGTGGACACCACTGCAATATTTCCATCTTCAAACAACTTATTATTTTAGGGGCTCTTAGTTTTGATCAACAAGGTCTTGGAGAAGTCCAAAGCTGAGTCCTTGGAAAGTAGAAAGGAGGAAACAATCTGTAATAACTGAGTTATGGTTGCAAATTCTGCTCTTGTTTCCCCTTGGCTAAATCCATTTCTCCAGCAGATTTTTCCAGCTACAAATTCACCATCAGAGCAGCTCTGTAAACAATAAAATAGCATTTTACTGCAGCTTTACAAGCCGTGATACGCCGCAGCAAATTAATCTTGCTAATGTGAATGAGACTCAAAGGCACTCAGGCAGTGTGCAGTTGCAGCCCAGAAGGCCAATCCCATCCTGGGCTGCATCAAAAGAAGCGTTGCCAGCAGGTCCAGAGAGGTGATTCTTCTGCTTTACTCCGAGACTCAAAGGCACTCAGGCGGTGTGCAGTTGCAGCCCAGAAGGCCAATCCCATCCTGGGCTGCATCAAAAGATGCGTTGCCAGCAGGTCCAGAGAGGTGATTCTTCTGCTTTACTCTGCTCTGGTGAGACCTCACCTGGAGTATTGTGTGCAGGTCTGGAGCCCTCAATATAAGAAGGACATGGACCTGATGGAGAGGGTCCAGAGGAGGGCCACAAGGATGATCAGGGGGATGGAGCACCTCTGCTACGAGGACAGGCTGAGGGAGCTGGGGTTGTTCAGCCTGGAGAAGAGGAGGCTCTGGGGAGACCTAATAGCAGCCTTCCAGTACCTGAAGGGGGCCTACAGGAAGGCTGGGGAGAGCCTGTTTAGAAAGGCCTGCAGTGACAGGACGAGGGGCAATGGCTTCAAGCTGGAGGGGAACAGATTTAGACTGGAGATGAGGAGAGGGTTCTTCACTGTGAGGGTGGTGGAGCACTGGAACAGGTTGCCCAGGGAGGTGGTTGAGGCCCCATCCCTGGAGATATTCAAGGAGAGGCTCGACGAGGCCCTGGGCAACCTGGTCTAGTTGGGGGTGTCCCTGCTGACTGCGGGGAGGTGGGACTAGATGACCTTTGGAGGTCCCTTCCGGCCTGGGCAATTCTATGATTCTATGATCCAAACCTGGAGGAAGGATCACGTGCAGAAGGGAAGAGACCTTAAGCATCTCTCCTCATTTTGGGGTTATAATTCAGTGAAAATGATTGTATAATTTCTGCAGCTTTTATTCAACAATCTCTAATCTATACTATCCAGCAACATCCAGGGAACATCTACCTCCATCCCTTGACCTTGTGTTCCTCTGATGATAAACTCTCTGCCTCTAAGTGCAAACATAGCCCAATTAACTCAGACTAGTTAATTCATTATCTGCTTTCTCACAAACCTTTTCCCAGGTTATTCCAGGGTGAACGAGGGAGAAAATGCTTATGGTTTCCACAAGGAGGCTTGTAAAGGTTTCAGTGGTGCATTGCAGGGTGAGCACCATCCTCGTTGCTGAGCTTGGCAATCACAAAGGTCCAGTTTGTGTGTAGATTAAAAATGGTATTTCCTGAAGCTACTTAAAACCAATTTCAGCCAAGCCTACCTGCTGCCCCATGGACTGCTGAACCCTGGACATGAAGGCAATTAATTTTTCCCTCCCTAACTCTGATATGACAGAATCATAGAATCATAGACCTTTAAGATCATTGAGTCCAACCATCAACCCAACTCTGATAAAAAACCATCACTAAACCATGTCACTAAGCTCTATGTCAACCCATCTTTTGAATCCCTCCAAGGATGGTGCCTCAACCACTTCCCTGGGCAGCCCATTCCAAGGCTTAATAAACTTTTCAGTGTAAACATTTTTCCAAATATCCAATCTGAACCTTCCCTGGAGCAACCTGGGGCAATTTCCTCTTGTCCCATGGCCTGTTCCTTGGGAGAAGAGACCGACCCCCCCTGGCTACACCCTCCTTTCAGGGAGTTGGAGAGAGCCAGAAGGTCTCCCCTCAGCCTCCTTTTCTCCAGGCTCAACACCCCCAGCTCCCTCAGAAGTTCTCCAGACCATTCTCCTTGTGCTCCAGACCCCTCACCAGCTCCGTTGCCCTTCTCCGGACACGCTCCAGCACCTCGATGATGTTTGGCCAAATTATTAAAGCCTTGTCTACTCTAAACTTTCTTCCCTCCAATTCCCTGTTGGTGCAGTAGGAGGTCTGGTGGGACCACACGTGACTGGAATTTGACTTTCCACATGCTCTATCCCTGCTCAAAGCATGTGCCATGGGGAAATACCTGGAAAGTTTATTAATCCTTGGGTCTCGTTAACCCAAGTGAGCTTCCCCTCAACAATCCAGCTCTTAAATCAACTGTTTTTGGTAAAGCTGGATATTGTCTATATTTTCTAGCTGGGATTGCCAAACTCTGTGGTTCCAGCACTGCAATAGTGTCCTCAACCTGGTTTTTATTCCTAGCTTTGCCTCTGGCTTCTCAGATGCTCTTGGGCAAACATTTTTTTTCCCATTTCTCCCTTGAATATTCCAGTTTCTGCTCTAAAAAAGGTTCATGTAATATTTGCCACCGTCGTAAATGCAAAGTATTTTCAGCTCTGCCAACGAAAAGGAGCATTTTCTAGATGGAGGGTTTGTTTAGTAATGATCTGCTTGCGATTGCTAAACTGCCTTTAGACTTTCCTTTTATTATTATTAATAACAAATCTGTATTTTATATGATTTTAGGGAGTCCATTGACCGAACGTGAGGTGCCAGTGCCCAGTAGCTGCGTGTCGTTTGCTGTCGCGGGTGCGGACGCTCCAATAACCACTTCAGTTGTAGAAAATACAGACTCTCCAGTTTGGGATTTTCAACAACAGGCGAGGTGAGCACCGTGGCCCCACGTCTGACCAGCCAGGCCAGGTGTGAAAAGCACATATCCATTTAGGGGAGGTTGTTTTTCTAATTACCAGGTCTGTACTATCAGCTAAAAAATGCTCGTTTCCATCTTTTACCGTCACGTCACAAAATCACAGAATCTTCTAGGTTGGAAGGGACCTTAAAGATCATCTTGTCCAACCGTCAACCTAACTCTGACAAAAAAAACCACCTGCACAATAAACAAAAAGCATCACCATCACTAAACCATACCTCCCAGCACTACATCAACCCGGCTTTTGAACACCTCCAGGGATGGTGCCTCAACCACCTCCCTGGGCAGCCCATTCCAATGGCTGATGACCCTTTCAGTGAAAAAAATTTTCCTAATATCCAGCCTGAACCTCCCCTGGTGTAACTTGAGGTCATTTCCTCTCGTCCTGTGACTTGGGAGAAGAGACCAACCCCCACCTCTCTACACCCTCCTTTCAGGGAGTTGGAGAGAGCAAGAAGGTCTCCCCTCAGCCTCCTCTTCTCCAGGCTGAATAACCCCAGCTCCCTCAGCCTCTCCTCGTAAGACTTATTCTCCAGACCCCTCACCGTCTTTGTCGCCCTTCTCTGGACCCGCTCCAGCCCCTCAATGTCTTTTTTGTGGTGGGGGGCCCAAAACTGGACACAGCACTCGAGGTGGGGCCTCACCAGTGCCGAGTACAGGGGGATGATCACCTCTCGGGTCCTACTCCCCACGCTGTTCCTGACACAGGCCAGGATGCTGGTGGCCTTCTTGGCCACCTGGGCACACTGCTGGCTCATGTTCAGCCCACAGTTGACCAACACCCCCACGTCCTTTTCCACCAGGCAGCTCCAGCCACTCTGCCCCCAGCCTGGAGCATCCATGGGGTTGGTGTGACCCAAGTGCAGGACCCGGCACTTGGCCTTGTTGAACCTCATCCCGTTGGTCTCGGCCCATCCATCCAGCCTGTCCAGATCTCTCTGCAGAGCCTTCCTCCCCTCCAGCAGGTCAACATTCCCACCCAACTTGGTGTTGTCTGTGAACTTACTGAGGGTGCACTCGATCCCCTCATCCAGATCATTGATAAAGATGTTAAAGAGAATTGGCCCCAGTACCCAGCCCTGGGGACACCACTCATGACTGGACACCAACTGGATTTAACTCCATTCCCCACCACCCTCTGGGCCCAGGTTTTAACCCAGCAGAGGGTATTCCCATCCAAGCCATGGGCAGACAGTTTCTCCAGGAGGATGCTGTGGGAGACTGTATCAAAGGTTTTGCTGAAGTCCAGATAAACAACATCCACAGCCTTTCCTTCACTGAGTCGTGAGATAAACTGTATTTCCACTTCTTCGTGGTTTTATTGTCCATTCTTTTAAATTTACATGCTCGAGGAGAGGGAAATAACTTCTTGAATAGGCAAAAGCTCAAACTCTATAAAGATAGTTATGGTTTTGAGGGCACAGTGATTTGAGGGTTTGTTGTGTTCCCCCCCCAACATCATTCCTGAAGGAAACTGATTTATTTGTGTAGATACATTGAATCTTCAGGGGTGTTTTTACTGCACTTATTCTTTTTTCCTGCTTTGCATAACAAATCCTGATTTTCTTCTTCACAGATTATCCAAGGAGCTTCTGCTGGATCCGCAGCAAACCTTGGTCTTCAAAGTGTGGCATAAAGCAGGTAAAGTGTGTAGGGTAGTATTGAGAGGAGAGTCTTTTCTGTACCCATTTCCTTATATTTCATATGAGTGAAGCAAATTCTATTAAATCAGAGACTAGAATTGTAAAGGCATTTTTTACCTCGCGCTAGAAGAATGCTAGAAAGAAATACCCACTGATTTCCAACCCTTCATCATCCTCCTTTTCCCTATTAATCATCTGGCAAAGTTTGGTTCAGTTTTTAGTTTGACATTATTTTAAAGGTAGGACTTTTTCTCACTGAAGAAGCTTCTTTTCTGTGTCTTTCACATGCTGTTTCTTGTCTCAGCACTTTATGGAGTGTGGCTGCCAGTTCTAATCAGATATTTTTTTAGGGGCATGGATATATTTTAAGAATTACTCCTGTACCCAGTAACTGTACAGAAATTTGCAAGACAGAAAAGACAAAATTTTGCACAAAAAGTGCAACAGCGTAATGATAAATCAGCATTTTGGAAAGTTTTGGCCAAGTGAAAAGGGAAGAAAATGGGAGTTTCTGAAGAGAGAATGCAGTTATGGAGGTGGAATGCATTTGCTGAGGTCCCTGGATTGGCCTCCAAGTTCATTTTTCAAGTCTCTGTCTCTTATTTCTAGCCCATTTTCAAGCTGAATCACAGAATGATGTAGGGTTGGAAGGGACCTCTGGAGATCATCCAGTCCAACCCCCTGCCAGAGCAGGGTCACCCAGAGCAGGTCCCACAGGGACATGTCCAAGTGGGGTTGGAATGTCTCCAGCGAAGGAGACTCCACCACCTCTCTGGGCAGCCTCTGCCAGGGCTCTGCCACCCTCAGTGAAGAAGTTCCTCCTCATGTTTAGGTGGAACTTCTTATGGTCAAGTTTGTGCCCATTTCCCCTAGTCCTGTTTCTGGGCACCACTGGAAAAAGCCTGGCCCCATCCTCCTGACACCCACCCTGGAAGGATTTAGAGGTGTTGATCAGATCCCCCCTCAGTCGTCTCTTCTCCAGACTAAACAGACCCAAGTCCCTCAGCCTTTCCTCAGCAGAGAGATGCTCCAGGCCCCTCATCATCTTTGTGTCCCTCTGCTGTCCCCTCTCCAGCAGTTCCCTGTCCTTCTGGAACTGGGGAGCCCACAACTGGTCCCAGTGCTCCAGCTGGGGCCTCCCCAGGGCAGAGCAGAGGGGCAGGATGACCTCCCTCCACCTGCTGCTCACACTCTTCCTGATGCCCCCCAGGATGCCCTTGGCCTTCTTGGCCACCAGGGCCTATTGCTGGCTCCTGGTCATCCCTTTGTCCACCAGGACTCCTAGATCTTTTTCCTCAGAGCTGCTCTCCAGCACGTCCCCCCCAACCTCTCCTGGTCCATGGGGTTATTCCTCCCCAGCCCTTGTTGAATTTCATGAGGTTCCTCTCTGCCCACCTCTCCATCCAGCCTGTCCAGGTCTCACTGGATGGTGACGTGGCCATCTGGTGTGTCAGCCACCCCCTTTATTACAGCCTTTAAATTTTTTCTTTATTACAACCCCTCTTTAACTAGGTTTTCTGATTAAGCATTGCACAGGGTACGTAACCACCGTGTCCTTTCTTACACCTGCAGCAAGGACCTTGTCCTGCCTGGTGTTTATCTCTAGCATTCTTCTACCACAAGGTAAAAATTTGAAAAATACTGAATTATTGCCAGTGGAGGTGTTTGGGTTATCAACAGCTGCAGAAGAGACAGTTATTTTGGCAAATCTATACGGAGGAAGCCGGTTTAATTGCTTAAAATATTTTTTCCTCCTTCTCAATCAGGAATCGTAAGTCTCTGAGTTAGAAGCACGTTATCAACAAAAATCCGACTCTCGTTTCTGTTGTCTTAAACTCTGTTTTCTATTTCCTTCCCATTTTTTGCCCCGCTCTTCACCTCCTGAGACCTCTCAGCTTTTAAACCATTTTTTCACCTTTATAAGATGTCTTTCCCTCTAATGTCCAGACGTATTTCAAGGGCTGTGTAACTGATTTTTACGTTTACCTGCAGTTTAAATGAATACATGATTTATATTCTTCTCCCCCAGAGAAGAATATAAATATATAACTATATATTCTTCTCCCCCAGAGACGGAGCGAGTGATAGGATTTGCATCCGTGGACCTTTCTCCTCTTCTTTCTGGCTTCCAGCTGGTGTGTGGGTGGTACAACATCACGGACTTCAGTGGGCAGTGCCGAGGGCAGATCAAAGTCGCCGTTTCTCCTCTTCAAAACATCAATCATCTCAAAGAAGAAAGGCAGGCCAGGATCCGGAGCCAGCCACCCAGTTCCTCAGTATGTCCTTCATTTTCCTCCTTTGGTCATATCTGATGGAAACCAAGATGTATCAGGGCAACGGAGCTGGTGATGGGTCTGGAGCACAAGGAGAAGGGTCTGGAGAACTTCTGAGATGTCCTTCATTTTCCTCCTTTGTTCATATCTGATGGAAACAAAGATGTATCAGGGCAACGGAGCTGGTGATGGGTCTGGAGCACAAGGAGAAAGGGTCTGGAGAACTTCTGAGGGAGCTGGGGGTGTTGAGCCTGGAGAAAAGGAGGCTGAGGGGAGACCTTCTGGCTCTCTCCAACTCCTTGAAAGGAGGTATATCCAATGGAAACAAAGATGTATCAGGGCAACGGAGCTGGTGAGGAGCATGGGGTTGTTGGTGTCTTCTCCCAAGGAACAGGCCATGGGACAAGAAGAAATGGCCTCAAGTTGGGCCAGGGGAGCTTCAGATTGGATATTAGGAAAAATTTCTTCCTGGAAAGAGTTGTCAAGCCTTGGAATGGGCTGTCCAGGGAAGTGGTGGAGTCTCCATCCCTGGAGGGATTTAAAAGACAGGTTGACATAGTTCTTAGTGACATGGTTAATGATGGTTTTTATCAGAGGTAGGTTGATGGTTGGACTTAGATGACCTGAAAGGTCCCTGTCAATCTAGATTTCTGTGATTCTGTGATTAGATTTCATAATAATCAGGGCTGAATCTGTGGCTTTCTTACGTAACAAGCAAATAGAGCAAATCCAGAGTATTGTAATGGATCAGTCTGTGTAAATCATAGAATCAGAGAATGGTTTGGCTTGGAAGGGACCTTAAAGACCATCCAGTCCCACCCCCTGCCATGCCCAGGGACACCTCCCACCAGAGCAGGTTGCTCCAAGCCCCCTCCAACCTGGCCTTGAACCCCTCCAGGGATGGGGCAGCCACAGCTTCTCACAGCTTCATGGGTTTTGGTTTTGGTTTTTTTAATTGCTAGGAGAATATTTTGTGGGTTTTGGATGTCTGGGAGCCTGGTGTTATTCTGTTTGCTGCTTTGGGTGCCAGCTGATGCCCAAAAATTCAGCATTTTGGTGGTTAGGAAATTTCTAATTTGGCAGAAATCTGTTTTTCTAAAAGATTTGCCATTTCTTGTGGATTTGTTCTTTATTCTCTAGACTTTCCAGTTACACTGGGATGTGATATACACGTGTAATAGAGCTCCTATACCCTATTTTCCATTCGTTTACTCTTTGATAGTGGGGAGAATTAACAAATGTTTCTGAAATAAGCTCGTTGTGAAATGGTATTTTGCCTCAGCGCTGGAAAATCCTTTGAAAATTTATTTAGAAAACGTACGTTTTTGTTAGCTTAGGAAGATACTACTTTAATTTCTCAATTTTCTTGTTGTGGAAGACTCATTTTCGGGGTGTTCCTCTTTATTCTAGGTGAAGCCCAGCTTTCCAGCATTTCCCAGTAACCCTACAAGCTTTTCCAAGCCCACGTTGAACACCTGGTCAAAGGAAGCCAGTGTTCCTTCTCGAGAGCGGTGAGTTTGCTGGCTGTTGGTCATTTTTAATCATTTTCAGGGCTCAGAAATCTACCTATTTGAAGCCTTTGGACTCTACTGAAAAAGTTATCAAACCCTGTCAAAGCTCTTTCCTGATTTGTTTCATTTACACCTTCTACGTTAAGATTTACGCGACGCCGTTGCTAATACTGGCAGATACTTCTTCCAGGCTTTTATATGAATAAGGGTTGTGTTTCTATTTGGTTTTTATTTTTAATAAGGATAATAAGCATAAATTAGAATAGAATATTACAGATATTTTTGCCCTTTATTTTGCCATAACTCCTGTCCATGGCCGGTGAGTGACGGCTGGTAAAATCCACATTCCAGGACTGGGATTGTCAGATATCCTGCAGCAATTCCTGCTTTCTTTCCCTTAAAACAAGCACTAAAGTTTATCTATTTAACCAGCAACTAGAGCTTTTTAATTCATGGTTTATTTAACATCCAGAGGAGATTATACTTTTCTTGAGTGTGTCTTGCCATTCCTGATGATATTCCAAAGAGCTACTTCCATCCGTCGGTTGCTCTTTTAATGCATTTAAAGATGTTGGATATTCTTAGTTGGCAAACTTCGCATAATGAGAGATTTCAGCCCATTTTCTCTCGTTAACTGTAGGTCCCTTTTGAGCAGAATTAGTCCCCCTGGAGCACACAGGCCTCGTCACGAAGAGCACGTGCAGAACGTGCGCAGATTTCACCAATCCCTGCAGCGAGCGGAAGGGAACGCTCAACGGGCGGCGAAGATGGACTCGTTATCGCTCTCCTCACGGGCTTCTCTCCTGACTGCTCTCAGGTAACACAGAGCTATAGAGTCACAGAATCACAGAATGGTTTGGGTTGGAAGGGACCTTCAAGATCATCCAGTTCCAACCCCCCTGCCCTGGGCAGGGACACCTCCCACCACACCAGGTTGCTCCAAGCCCCCTCCAACCTGGCCTTGAACCCCTCCAGGGATGGGGCAGCCACAGCTTCTCCACGCAACCTGGGCCAGGCTCTCACCACCCTCACACCAAATAAGTTCTTCCCCACATCTCAGCTCCATCTCCCCTTTTTCAAGGTCAAACCCTTCCCCCTCATCCTGTGGCTCCCCTCCCTCATCAAGAGTCCCTCCCCATCTCTCCTGGAGCCCCTTGAGGGACTGGAAGGGGCTCCAAGGTCTCCCCGAAGCCTTCTCTTCTCCCACATCTCAGCTCCATCTCCCCTCTTTCAGGGTCAAACCCTTCCCCCTCCTCCTAGGGCTCCCCTCCCTCATCAAGAGTCCCTCCCCAGCTTTCCTGGAGCCCCTTGAGGGACTGGAAGGGGCTCCAAGGTCTCCCTGGAGCCTTCTTTTCGGCCATTTCCTCTCGTCCTGTCGCCTGTGACTTGGGAGAAGAGACCGACCCCCCTCCCAGCAGAGGGGCTCCAGCCCTCCCAGCATCTCCATGGTGGCCTCCTCTGGCCCCGCTCCAACAGGTCCATGTCTCTCCTGTGCTGAGGCCCCAGAGCTGGAGGCAGCACTGGGTGGGGGGTGTCTCCCCAGAGCGGAGCAGAGGGGCAGAACCACCTCCCTGGCCCTGCTGGCCACGCTGCTGGGGATGCAGCCCAGGATGGGGAGGGTTCTCTGGGCTGCCAGTGTCCATTGCCAGCTCATGTTGGCTGTAGCCAACAAGGTGATTCCAAGCCTTAGGTTTGCAAAGCAGAGCTTGAAACTCTTCCATCCGATTTTAAAGGCAATGAAAATGAAAATGCACAATGTATAGAGAGTAATTTACAGCAGGATGAGATGAGATTGGAATTGAATTTTGGGTCACACCATCCCCGTGGACACTTCAGGCCTGGGGCAGAGTGGCTGGAGCTGCCCAGTGGAAAAGGACCTGGGGTTGTTGGTCACCAGCCGGATGAATATGAGGCAGCAGCGTGCCCAGGTGGCCAAGAAGGCCACCAGCATCCTGGCCTGTGTCATCCATAATCTGGCCAGCTGGACTGGGGCAGTGACCTCTCCCCTGGACTGGGCACTGGGGAGGCCCCACCTCAAGGGCTGGGTGCAGTTTTGGGCCCCTCATTCCAGGAAAGACCTTGAGGGGCTGGAACAGGTCCAGAGAAGGGCAACGGAGCTGGTGAGGGGTCTGGAGCACAAGGAGAAGGGTCTGGAGAACTTCTGAGGGAGCTGGGGGTGTTGAGCCTGGAGAAAAGGAGGCTGAGGGGAGACCTTCTGGCTCTCTCCAACTCCCTGAAAGGAGGGTGTAGCCAGGGGGGGTCGGTCTCTTCTCCCAAGGAACAGGCCATGGGACAAGAGGAAACGGCCTCAAGTTGTGCCAGGGGAGGTTCAGATTGGAGATTAGGAAAAATTTCTTCACTGAAGAGGTTATTAAACCTTGGAATGGGCTGCCCAGGGCAGTGGTGGAGTCTCCATCCCTGGAGGGATTTCCAAGCCGGGCAGACATGGTCCTGAGGGACATGGGTCAGTGGTGGGTTTGTCAGTGTGGGGTTGATGGTTTGACTCGATGGTCCAAGAGGTCCTTTCCAACCTCAACCATTCTATTATTCTATGAAAAACAGGGATTAGGGGAGCATGACTTTCTGAGTCCATCCCTTTCCCTGCTACCACAAGCAATATATTATAAAATCCTTAGATTTTTATCAAGCTCAGTCATAAAGTCAATTAGTATTCTCTCCTTTATGACTTTATGCAAAGTTATCTCAAATCCAACTCCTTTGATTAAGTTTAAAACTACCTCTTTTTTTTAACTCCCAGCCTAAGTCTCATAGCTAATTAGCCATTGATTCATGAGTGTTATTCTCTTGCTTAGAGAGAGCAACCTCAACATTTACCTACTGAGATATATCTGTCAATAATAACCCTTAATAATGTATTTGCATATTTACATGCTGTTGACTGGGATGATACAAAAAGAACCAAGTCTGCCACAAGCTTTTTTTTTTCTCCTCTTACCAAATTTCTTGCAACTTCTTACAGAAAAAACCTGAGTGAGCTGGATGAGGTTCAAAGATACTTCAGTCAGAAGCTGACCACGTCTTTTCCTGACTTCAGTTGCGGTCCCGTGTCCAAACCGAGTCGTGAGGAGCAGGAGATGGATCATCGGGCCTCGATGAGCAGAGAAGTGGATCCCAACGGACGCCACCTTTTGGAAAAATCCAGTCAGTTGGTGTCTCAGGTCAGCAGCCTCATCAACGGTAGGTTGTCACTTGGTTGGAATTTTTTGTCAGAAGTTGCCTTTTCAACTTTCTAATGGAATCAGGAGCAGTTCCTGATGTTGGTCATCACCACGTGTGGGTCCGTTGCTTCAGAGAGACTTTCAAACCCCTGTCAGGAATGGGGGTGTTGAACTGAAACATGCAGAAGGCAGAAATTCTAAATAATGCCTACATTCTACTTAAATTTCAATGTAAAAAAAGGGAGGTCTTGCCCAAGAGCAACCCACAGAACGGTGCTGAGCTGAGTCTGTGGCTCCTTCCTACCAGGAACGGGCATATCTCTGGTTTTGGGTGAAATTTCTGCCCTACAATGAAGAGCTGAAATAAGGCTCTTTTAGGGCAGACAAAGCTCTTTGTGAGCAACCTCTTTTCTGTTTATCACATTCAATACATTTCCTCTCTTAGAGGCGTCACTGCAATTAATTTTCCATGTCGTTACCGCTGTCGGACACACAACGACGTTCTTAATAAGGCCAATGGCATCTTGGGGGGCATCAGGAAGAGTGTGACCATCAAGTTGAGGGAGGTCCAGCAGGGCCTCTGGAGATCATCCAGTCCAACCCCCTGCCAGAGCAGGTCCTCCCAGAGCAGGTCCCACAGGAACGTGTCCAGGTGGGTTGAATGTCTCCAGAGAAGGAGACTCCACCACCTCTCTGGGCAGCCTCTGCCAGGGCTCTGCCACCCTCACAGGAAAGAAGTTCCTCCTCATGTTGAGATGGAACTTCTTATGTTCAAGTTTGTGCCCATTTCCTCTTGTCCTGTCCCTGGGCACCACTGAAAAAAGACTGGCCCCATCCTCCTGACACCAACCCTTTAAGGATTTAGAGGTGTTGATCAGATCCCCCCTCAGCCTTCTCTTCTCCAGACTAAAAAGACCCAAGTCCCTCAGCCTTTCCTCAGCAGAGAGATGCTCCAGGCCCCTCATCATCTTTGTAGCCCTCTGCTGTCCCCTCTCCAGCAGTTCCCTGTCCTTCTGGAACTGGGGAGCCCACAACTGGACCCAGTGCTCCAGCTGGAGCCTCCCCAGGGCAGAGCAGAGGGGCAGGGTGACCTCCCTCCACCTGCTGCTCACACTCTTCCTGATGACCCCAGGATGCCCTTGGCCTTCTTGGCCACCAGGGCCCATTGCTGGCTCCTGGGCATCCTGTTGTCCACCAGGACTCCCAGGTCTTTCTCCTCAGAGCTGCTCTCCAGCAGGTCCCCCCCAACCTCTCCTGGTGCAGGGGGTTAGTCCTGAGTTTTACCAATATTTAATTAACAGTTGTCTGTCGTTTGATTCAAGTTGGTTAATTGGACTGAAAGCTGGAGAACATCAGTAGCAACTGTGTCTTCGGTATTTCTGGATCTTTCCCAGTAATTTCATCCTGAACATTTCTATTTTTCCCCTTAATGTTTCTGTCCTTCTCCTGACCTTGGCAATGGTGGAGAGACCAGAATGTGACCACATCTGCAGAGCTTTTGAGTGTGTGTTTAGCTCCTCACCCTTCTTGCAGATATGATGTTCTCCAAAAAGCCCAGATAAATGAGGTAAAAGGTGAATGTCCATTTACTGATGCTCTTTTCTGTTAATCAGACTTACAGACTATAACTAAAAATAGCCAAGAATCTTCTGATGGGCATCAGGACAGCAGCAGAAAGCTGGGTGCTACCCATGTGGGCGACCAGAAGGATGAAGAAGCTGGAACTGAAGTAAGTCAAGGCCAACTTGAGCTGGACTCGGCCAGCGTTTGCGGTGACACGCAGCAGCCACGCTCTTTCAGGAGACCCGTGTTTGAGAGACACATGTTGCATGAGTTTCTGGACCAAGCTGTCCCTGAAGACGAGCATCCTTGGCCAACTGGCTACACCCAGGAAGGTGAAGGTGCTTCACAGCCACGCAGTGAAGATGAATATGAAGAAGACGTTATAGAACCACGAACTCTTAACGATATAACGACCATAACGGACAAAACCAGTCCCTGGTCCAGTGTTCTGTCTGAAGGGGAGCAGGATGTTGACCAGGAGCCCATAGACTTGGAGTCTGAAGATCAGCACTTGGTGGATATTGACTGTTTGCAAAGAGGGAGCAGCACCTTCTCCAGCATGCTCCAAGGTGACAACCAAAGCATGTTCACCACCCTTAGCCTCCTCGCAGACGAGGGCGGTCCTTTGGCAGGGACAGAAGGCTTTCAAAGCTTGAATAGTGGCACAAAAACAAGGGAGAAGGAGCTGTTTCCACCTGCTCGTTTGTCAGATGTTCATCAAACAGCCAACGGTCCTGTAGAGCCAAATGTAGAGTTCCACGCAGCCTCCAAAGAACTACTGGTGTTTCCAGGAGATCTTGGTTTGACCAATCCAAAAACCCCAGAAAGAAAGAAGGAAGAAAGAAAGAAGGAGGAAAATGGTGAGGTTGTGAACGAAGAACATCAGGACGGGGAAGAAGGTGGCTCTGATGAGCTCTGTGTGAAGAGTGGATCGGTCCCAGCAGGCTCGGAAGGAAACAGCGAAAGCTTTTCCGATGACAGTAGCGAAGACCCACTGGAAGAGTCAGAAAAGTCTATCAAACCAAAAATTGTTCTGTATCCTTTTTTTTTTTTTTTTCCTTAAACAGAAATGGCAATCAAGGAACGTGTCCTGTTTCTTGGTTAGAACCTCAGAGGCCTCAGGACAGAGAAATTCCCTGCGTGGAGCTCTGTCCTGGGAAATGAGTCTGGAGCTGGTGACCTGAGAAGGTGCTGGAAGACCCTGTTGTGTTTCACACCACGTAGTGACGTTTGGAACCAGTATATTCTGTGATCCCTGAGGGTTATTTCAGTTTGGGAAGTTTCAACATGTCTTCTTGCATTTTTTAGTCCATGTGTGATACCTCCCGTGTTTCTTCTGTATTAAAAGAAACACACTTTATTCTGCTTTTAAAATATTTTCCTGTGTTTCTTGCGCAGATCCCGAATCTCACAGCGAGTTTTGCAAAGTTGTGTTGGAATTTTGGCAGGATGAAGCTGTCTGCAAACACGTGAGGTGGTACTGGAAAGCGGGTTGGTGTCCCACACGCTGTGAGGTGTTGTTGTGTGGGTGTCTATTTTTGTCAATTAGGTTGATGGTTGGACAAGATGATCTTTAAGGTCCCTTCCAACCTAGAAGATTCTGTGATTCTGAGAGAACCAAGCGTTCAAGATGATAGAATATTGATGAAAATGCATGAAACTCACCATCTGGGATCCATCAGCAGCCGTTGATGGTGGCTCATTCCACCTCTGCAGCTCCCTTGGAGCTTTGTGCATCTACCAAAGGTTCTTCCTTAACATTTCTCCTCAGATCTGGTCCTGTCGTTGTTCCCAACTTCTTCCTTCCACCCCAGCAGATGGAAGCCTCCATGAGACTGCTCAGCTTGTCTTCTCATCCTTCCACAGCTCTGAAAGTAAGTATGGGACATCCTTCCCTTTGTTGTCCTGGCTTAACGGAGTCCTTTCGTTAATGCAGGAGCAAAAGTACTTCTCCCTTTCTTTGCTGGTCCACGCTCAGGTTAGAGGTGGTGGCTTCCAAATCAAGTCCAGGAGAATCTTTCTGATGGTTCTTCTCTCTGTGAGAATCATTTTCAGCGTTCGTGGCTGCCTCGTTGGGGATAATCATGCATTTATGTTAATCAGTTTGTGTGTATTTAACAATAGTGAGTGTTCTCTGTTGCAGTGGAAGTGGCCAGTGCTCTCTCCACACCTCTTTGTGCTTTAATGTGGGGGAAGTTGCCCAATTTTGAAGACGAACTCTAATTTGTAATTATGACTCCAATTTATATCTTTTAGATGAGGATGAAATGAGGGAGTTTACAGCAAGAGCCTTTCATAGAGTCATAGAGTGGTTAGAATTGGAAGGGACCTTAAAGACCATCCTGTCCCACCCCCTGCCCTGGGCAGGGACACCTCCCACCAGAGCAGGTTGCTCCAAGCCCCCTCCAACCTGCCCTTGAACCCCTCCAGGGATGGGGCAGCCACAGCTTCTCCACGCAACCTGGGCCAGGCTCTCACCACCCTCACACCAAACAAGTTCTTCCCCACATCTCAGCTCCATCTCCCCTCTTCCAGGGTCAAACCCTTCCCCCTCCTCCTAGGGCTCCCCTCCTTCATCAAGAGTCCCTCCCCAGCTTTCCTGGAGCCCCACTTCTTTAGGGACTGGAAGGGGCTCCAAGGTCTCCCCGGAGCCTTCTCTTCTCCAGGCTGAACCCCCCCAACTCTCTCAGCCTGTCCTCCCAGCAGAGGGGCTCCAGCCCTCCCAGCATCTCCGTGGCCTCCTCTGGCCCCGCTCCAACAGGTCCATGTCCTTCTGCTGTTGGTGGCCCCAGAGCTGGAGGCAGCACTGGTGGGGGGGTGTCTCCCCAGAGCGGAGCAGAGGGGCAGAATTCCCCCCCCCTGGCCCTGCTGGCCACGCTGCTGGGGATGCAGCCCAGGATGTGGGGGGCTTTCTGGGCTGCCAGCACATGTTGGTGGCTCATGTTGAGCTTCTCACCCACCAGCAGCCCCAAGTCCTTCTCCTCGGGGCTGCTCTCCAGCCATTCTCCACCCAACCTGGATTTGTGCTTGAGGTTGTCCCCACCCAGGTGCAGGACCTTGCACTTGACCTCGTTGAACCTCATGAGGTTCACACAGTTCCACCTCTCCAGCCTGTCCAGGTCCCTCTGGATGCCATCCCGTCCCTCCAGCGTGTCACCACGTCACACAGCTTGGTGTCCTCCCCAGACTTGCTGAGGTTGCCCTCCACGTGAGGTATCACGTAACCGTTCTTCGACGGAGGGAACAGCAGAAGAGCTGGAGCGCTCGTTCCTCTTACAGCACAGCTGTTGATTGACTTTTGCCATTTCCTAGGTGGTTTTAGGTGAAGAAACATGTATTTCCACCAAGAAATTTGGAGCTCAGTTCTTCTGAGATCTAAATATTATTCTTTTCCAGCCCCAGCTTTGCTCAGGGTGTTGATGTGGATCTGGGCACCGCAGCAGCTGAGCTGTTTGTTTACAGCTCCCAGAAAAGCCAACGTGTTCGTTCCCCTCCTTCTGACCTATGGAACAAACACTCTAAAGAACATTTATAGAACTGGAAACATCTTGATTCAACAGGACAGAGCCAGGCAGGATTTAATAGCTCTGAAGTAATGGAAACGACTTGTAATTAATAATTGTACTTACAGCTCGGGTAAAATGCCTTCATTTTTGCTGGTTTGTTTTGTAATTTTTTCTTTTTTTTCTGATTTACATCATATATCTTTTCCTAAAGCCTTTGAAATTCATTCCTGGTGAAAGCAGAGACCTCTGTGAGATGGTTCTTGGGCAGAGGATACTTCAAGGATCTTAAAATACACCTACTCTGCGGTGTGTCTTAGCGCTTGTTAAGGATATTTTTCATACTGTTTCTACATATTTTGGATGAAATCAGAAGCAGAACCTCAAATGGGTTTCTCCTGTGGAATCTCCTCCAAATTCTCCTTGTTCTGTCCATCCCTGACACCCCCTTCCATCCTGCCCCCTCTTTGGAGTTTTGCTTTCTCTGCAGACTTAGGTCCAGTTCAAATCATGGCTCAAACCCGTGGTTTAATATTAATCCCAGCTCTACCCAAATCCCCTCTCTCTGCAATGACTGGAAACACGCTCTTAAAATTGTTTAATAATTAGGGAGAATATTAACAAGGCACTATTTGGGTCGAGCTGACCTTAAACCAGCTTAATTCCAGGATGAGCTACAGCTCGTCCTTCGCTGGAGAGCTTTGCTTTTAGGGCTTCTGTTGAGACAGGACCCGGTGGTGCTCCCGACACCAAACAGCCCAAATAAGAACTTTCTCATTTAAGATGGTAGAATATAATTCAGGAAAACTTAATTAGCTCCCAGAGCTTCAGTTTCTAAATCTGGGTTGGGTTGGTTTCTGCAGAGCTCAGCAAACGCCACGGGTGACGCTGAAACGTGAGCTGTTGTCATCTGAAGATCCCCCGTCCCCTCTGGCTCGGGTGGCAGCTGGCAAAGCTCTCTCCTGACCTCCTTTCCTGATCCTACCACCTCTCCCTGGCTTCTCTGACCTCCCTGTTTTCCCCCTCTTCCTACGCAAAGCGGTGAAGAAACGGCGAGGAGGCAACCACGTCACAGGAGCTGGCAGCATTTTGGGGACAAAATGGTCGTCTACGCTCATGGGGATCCAAGAAGGTGCTGTAGCAGCTCAGGCTTCACCTTTCAGGGACCTGAGTTTGGCAGAACCTCACAAAATCTGACATTTTTGGACCTTTTTTCCTCCATCACATTCCAGCTTCTGGTTCTTTGAGGTTCTTCCCAGTTCTCCTCTTCCACCTGCTCTTCCTGATCCTGCTTCCTCTCCTGCCGCTCTCCAGGTTCAGCGAGAAGCTTTGCCCTTTCCTCCTCTGGGCCCTTTTCCAGGCAGTTCCTGGTACAACCTCAGGAAAATTATCCAAGTTCATGGCTAAACTTAAAAGTGTCCAACACCAGATTGTGATTATTGTAAAGCTACAACTGGTTTTTTGGATGAGTCGGAGCGTAGGGGGCTCAGATTATTGCCCAAATCTTATTTCCGACTCTTTCCTCTGCCTCCCTTCTCCTCCTTGGATGAGTCGGAGCGTAGGGAGCCCAGATTATTGTCCAAATTTTATTTTCGACTCTTTCCTCTGCCTCCCTTCTCCTCCTCCTTTGCCTTTAATGCCTTTATGTGTTCCTTTTTCTTTTTTTAATCTAGTTTTGCTGATTTTTCAGGGCAAAAAATTCAATTTCTGGTTAGGGTTTGGGGCAATCGGATGCTAGAATAGAAACATTTAAAAAGTATCTCAACCAGTGAGATACTGGTTGAGAAACCCATCTTAAGGCTCGTTGCCTTTTCAGAGTTGGCCCCGTCTCCTGGTCCCAAAGCTGGGATGTGGAGGGTGGGATGAAGTATTGAAAAAGTTGGGAGAATTGATACTATTTCATTATAATATTTCATAAAAAATTCTGATTTTTTTTTTTCCCTTCACCTCCTTGAATATTCCAAAAGGATAAGAGACTTAGATGGCAACCGGGTTTAGTAAGATTAATTAGTATTTATATATAGGTAGATGTAAATTAGAAATAAGGCTTTTACAAGACAGACTTAGATTCAGAAGAAGAGGTTTTTTTATCTGGTCTGAAGATGCTGCCAACGCTCCAAATGTCCCTTCTTGGTTGTGGTGTTTCTTCTTGTTCTGCTCCCATTTCAGCTGCTAAAGGTCTTCTCTTTCCTTCCCCAGAGGACAGAGCTAAAGGCTTTTCTACCCCCCTCTCTTTGTTCTCTGAACCTGGTGAAGGGAAACGCTGACCTTCTCCTTCATTCACACCTTCAGAAAAAGAGGAAAAGGTGACTCTTGTGCTCCACGTCCAATGGGAGTTGATCCGGAATCTCATAGAAACCTTTTCTTCTCCCGAAAACAGAAGTTGGTGCACGGTGGCTCCAGGGTCACAGACTCATGGAGTGATCTGGGGTTGGAAGGGACCTCTGGAGATCATCCAGTCCAACCCCCTGCCAGAGCAGGGCCACCCAGAGCAGGTCCCACAGGAACGTGTCCAGGTGGGGTTTGAATGTCTCCAGAGAAGGAGACTCCACCACCTCCCTGGGCAGCCTCTGCCAGGGCTCTGCCACCCTCACAGGGAAGAAGTTCCTCCTCATGTTGAGATGGAACTTCTTATGTTCAAGTTTGTGCCCATTTCCTCTTGTCCTGTCCCTGGGCACCACTGACAAAAGCCTGGCCCCATCCTCCTGACACCCACCCTTGAAGGATTTAGAGGTGTTGATCAGATCCCCCCTCAGCCTTCTCTTGTCCAGCCTAAAAAGACCCAAGTCCCTCAGCCTTTCCTCAGCAGAGAGATGCTCCAGGTCCCTCATCATCTTTGTAGCCTCTGCTGTCCCCTCTCCAGCAGTTCCCTGTCCTTCTGGAACTGGGGAGCCCACAACTGGTCCCAATGCTCCAGCTGGGGCCTCCCCAGGGCAGAGCAGAGGGGCAGGATGACCTCCCTCCACCTGCTGCTCACACTCTTCCTGATGCCCCCCAGGATGCCCTTGGCCTTCTTGGCCACCAGGGCCCATTGCTGGCTCCTGGGCATCCTCTTGTCCACCAGGACTCCCAGGTCTTTCTCCTCAGAGCTGCTCTCCACCAGGTCACCCCCAACCTCTCCTGATCCATGGGGTTATTCCTCCCCAGGTGCATCACCCTACACTTGCCCTTGTTGATGGGACAAATACTCATCACCTCACGCTGTAAAACACAGGTTACCAAAAAAGAAAGATCTCCAAACCCATTTATACCTTAAAAAAGCCATTTTCCTCCCCAAACAGTACCCATCAAAGTGAGGAGCAGACAGGAACATGATGCCGGCGCCGTTTTTCGTCTCACCTTAGGAGACCTTTCCACGGCGGCCGGGCCTGGCCCGGCTGGGAGGGAGAAGCAGCCCAGGGATGTAGGTGAAAGGTCGGGCCCAGGGATCAGCTTTCCATGCTCTCCAGGAGCCCTCCCCATGTCCTGAAAGGCCACCACTCCCTAAAAGTGCCTCTAAAAGTGGCCAACGCCGGATCTCTCCTCTCTTGGTGCTTCTTGAACTCAACCTGGTTCAAAATTAACCCAGGAGAAACTTTCTGTGCTGAAAATACCCATATTTAGTGATATTGGGAGGTCTTGGGGGGGGCTGCAAACCGAGGAGAAGGGTAAAATGGTGAAAAAGGTGTTTTTTTTATCTCGTGAGATGCTGCTTAGGGGTTCTGCAGGTGACTGGGACCAGTCGGTCTTCATTTGTCACCAGGCTTGGGTTGGTTGTGTAGGAGCTTCGTCTCTCCAAGCGCAAGGTGGTTTGGGTCGTTGGGTTCTGCAAATTAAAAAGCAATTAATAATTGAAAAAGCAAAATTCAGAGAGTCGGAGCATCTTTCTAGTCCCTCAAGGGGCTCCAGGAGAGATGGGGAGGGACTCTGGATGAGGGAGAGGAGCCCTAGGAGGATGAGGAGGAAGGGTTTGACCCTGAAAGAGGGGAGATGGAGCTGAGATGTGGGGAAGAACTTCTTTGGTGTGAGGGTGGTGAGAGCCTGGCCCAGGTTGCCCCGAGAAGCTGTGGCTGCCCCATCCCTGGAGGGGTTCAAGGCCAGGTTGGAGGGGGCTTGGAGCAACCTGGTGTGGTGGGAGGTGTCCCTGGATGGAACTGGATGGTCTAGAAGGTCCCTTCCAACCCAAACCACTCGATGTCTCTATGAATGCTCTGCTCTAATTCTTTTGGCTTCACAGCAGGTGACTTTGCAGCATCTAACACTGCGTTGGGCAGGGAGACACTCCACCAGGTGGGATATTTTTTCCTCCAAGCTGGAACAAACAGCTCTTTTTTCCAAACAGTTGCCTCTGGTTGGGCAGGAGAAAGGAAAAGTCCCTCCGAGGAGAACCTCGGAGCGACGTGAGCTTTTATTTCTACGTGGCCATCTCCTCACACGCAGCACGACCCCGGTTCAGGCTGGATATTAGGAAAAAATTTTTTCACTGAAAGGGTCATCAGCCATTGGAATGGGCTGCCCAGGGAGGTGGTTGAGGCCCCATCCCTGGAGGTGTTCAAAAGACAGGTTGATGTAGTGCTGGGAGGTCTGGTTTAGTGATGATGCTCCTTGTTTGTTGTGTGGGTGTCTGTTTTTGTCAGTCAGGTTGACGGTTGGACAAGATGATCTTGAAGGTCCCTTCCAACCTAGAAGATTCTGTGATTCTGTTTGCTGTGATCAGAAAAGGGAGGTAGGACAAGAGCTCTAACACCTTCTCCCTTCCCTGGGCAGAGCGGGAGCGCAGCGACGCCGCGGGGCATCCCCTACCGAAAACCCCCCCGGCCCAGGCCCCCGGCGCGACTCTCGGAGGAGGAAACCAGAAGAATCGCCAAGATCTTCTCGGCTCAAGTGTCCAAGAAGGATTAAGGTCCTTCTTGGCCGTTCCCCGACCCCTCGCCGGGATCTCCAGGGAAGAGGAGGTGGAAACCGTAGGTTCCAGGCTCTGATTTTTTAATTTGCTTAATTGATATCCTGCTTGAGGGACTGAAAACCTGGTGCTCAACCGAGGGGAGCTGAGAGACCACGTGTCCCCACCGAGACTCATCGGCGTCGGGTCAACCATGAGTTGTCACCTGGTCTCCAAATATTGCATTTCTGGCACTGATTCGCATGAAATTTCTCTAATTTACCTTTTTTATTCTTTTTTTTAACCTCATTTTGAGACGGCTCCTTTTTCTTCAACCCTGGGGTGGAGAAGGTTAGATCTTTGCAGAGAACTCTTAAAAACCAGCTCCCTCCCCAGTGGCCTTTCAAAATTAATTGGTAGGAAGTGAAATTTGCTGATTCTAGAAGAATGTATGTGCCCCAGGAGCTTGTGTAAATACCCAGGGATGCTGTAAAATACTGATGTGTGGACTGTTTTTACTAGAAATATGGAATATTCTAAATTATTTTTGTACATTTTGATGTCAAGGACCTTTTGGATCACGGGCTTGGATGCAAACTGACCTTAAGTTATTTTTGTACCTCTCTCTGGTGTTTGTTTTTCAATAAAATCCCTCTGGTTTCTTGTCTCCTGGTGGGAAGTGTCCCGGTGCCAGGTCACGAGCTCGTCGTTAACAGGTGCCCGGGGCTCGTTCCCCGAGAGCCCCCGATAACGGGGAGGGGGGGGAAGAGGAGAAGAGGAGAAGAGGACATTGGAGAAGTGGTTCCTGGAAGATGCTGTGGTTGGAGAGAGGAGGAAAGGTCACTGCTCTGTGAGGGAATTGGATATTTCTCCATCACACGGACCCTGGGAAGGAGTCATGGAATGACCCAAAATCAGGCTCCGTCACACGGCCCCCGGGGAAGGAGTCATGGAATGACCCAAAATCAGAGAATGGTTTGGGTGGGAAGGGACATTAAAGACCATCCAGGGACACCTCCCACCAGAGCAGGTTGCTCCAAGCCCCCTCCAACCTGGCCTTGAACCCCTCCAGGGATGGGGCAGCCATAGCTGCTCGGGGCAACCTGGGCAACCAGGTCTCACCACCCTCACAGCAAAGTTCTTCCCCACATCTCAGCTCCATCTCCCCTCTTTCAGTGTCAAACCCTTCCCCCTCCTCCTAGGGCTCCCCTCCCTCATCCAGAGTCCCTCCCCAGCTTTCCTGGAGCCCCTTGAGGGACTGGAAGGGGCTCCAAGGTCTCCCTGGAGCCTTCTCTTCTCCAGGCTGAACCCCCCCAACTCTCTCAGCCTGTCCTCCCAGCAGAGGGGCTCCAGCCCTCCCAGCATCTCCATGGTGGCCTCCTCTGGCCCCGCTCCAACAGGTCCATGTCCTTCTGCTGTTGGTGGCCCCAGAGCTGGAGGCAGCACTGGGTGGGGGGTGTCTCCCCAGAGCGGAGCAGAGGGGCAGAACCCCCCCCCATGGCCCTGCTGGCCACACTTCTTTTGACGCAGCCATGGCCCTGTTGGCCACACTTCTTTTGACACAGCCCAAGATGGGGGGGTCTTTCTAGACCAACCCCTCCCTCGTGTCAGACCTTGGAGATGAGCAAATGTCCCAAATCTGAGCTGTTTTCAGGATTTAAGGAACCAAAGTGTCCCCAGCCCTTTTTTTTTTTCCTCCTCCCCCCTCTGCAGTTGGTTTGTCACCAGGAAAACCCTAAATATCTAACTCACCCCCCCCACAACGTGCTGCCCGAGGCAGGGGACAGCTGGTTGTCACCCCTGACCCTCTGCCCTGCAAACGTGTCCCCTCTCCCTGCCCTCCTCAGGTGACATGAACGTGCCAAGTGTCCCCAAACCACCCGTACCCCCCGGCCAGAACAGGAGTGACGTGGCCCATCCTGGTGGCATCATCCCCCCACCCCCAAAAAAACCCAAAATACCTCAAGCGGGATGTGGGTTGGGAACACGGTGACAGAGGAGGTGACAGAGGAGGTGACAGAGGAGGTGACAGAGATGACTCCTGAGTTCTACTGGAGCGTGACATAAACAGCTTCTTCCTCTTGCCTTGGGGTCAAGAGTGGAGCAGGAAAACAAGAGGGCAACCAGCCTCAGGTGACATGAACGTGCCAAGTGTCCCCAAACCACCCGTACCCCCCGGCCAGAACAGGAGTGACGTGGCCCATCCTGGTGGCATCATCCCCCCACCCCCAAAAAAACCCAAAATACCTCAAGCGGGATGTGGGTTGGGAACACGGTGACAGAGGAGGTGACAGAGGAGGTGACAGAGGAGGTGACAGAGATGACTCCTGAGTTCTACTGGAGCGTGACATAAACAGCTTCTTCCTCTTGCCTTGGGGTCAAGAGTGGAGCAGGAAAACAAGAGGGCAACCAGCCAAGGAGGGGTGTTGGTGCCAGACCTGGGGGGTGTCACCTTCTGCCTGGAGCCTGATGGATGGAGCAAAGGTGGCTTCGGGGTCACCAAAAAGTTTGAAAGCCCTCAGACGCGAGAGCAGAGACTGTGCATCAACGGGGACGTGTGGTCTCTGGTGAGCACCTCCCTCTGGGCTCGGGGCGTGTAACGAAGGGTTAAAGGCACCGAGTTGAAAGAAAATGGAGGAAAAGGGGCATTTTTGGGGGGTGTCAACCCATCCTTGGTCTCCAGCCTTGTCCTTCACCCCACCCTTGGTCTCCAGCCTTGTCCTTCACCCCACCCTTCGTCTCCAGCCTTGTCCCATCCTTGATCTCCAGCCTTGTCCCATCCTTGGTCTCCAGCCTTGTCCTTCACCCCACCCTTGATCTCCAGCCTTGTCCTTCACCCCACCCTTGATCTCCAGCCTTGTCCCATCCTTGGTCTCCAGCCTTGTCCTTCACCCCACCCTTGGTCTCCAGCCTTGTCCTTCACCCCACCCTTGCTCTCTCCAGCCTTGTCCTACCCTTGGTCTCCAGCCTTGTCCTTCACCCACGCTTGGCCTCCAGCCTTGTCCTACCCTTGGTCTCCAGCCTTGTCCTTCACCCCACCCTTGGCCTCCAGCCTTGTCCCATCCTTGGTCTCCAGCCTTGTCCTTCCCCACACCCTTGGTCTCCAGCCTTGTCCTGCATCCCACCCTTGCTCTCCAGCCTTGTCCTTCACCCCACCCTTGCTCTCCAGCCTTGTCCTGCATCCCACCCTTGCTCTCCAGCCTTGTCCTTCACCCCACCCTTGCTCTCCAATCTTGTCCCATCCTTGGTCTCCAGCCTTGTCCCATCCTTGCTCTCCAGCCTTGTCCCATCCTTGCTCTCCAGCCTTGTCCTTCATCCCACCCTTGCTCTCCAGCCTTGTCCGTCACCCCATCCTTGGTCTCCAGCCTTGTCCTTCACCCACCCTTGGTCTCCAGCCTTGTCCCATCCTTGGTCACCAGCCTTGTCCTTCACCCCATCCTTGGTCTCCAGCCTTGTCCCATCCTTGGTCTCCAGCCTTGTCCTGCATCCCACCCTTGGTCTCCAGCCTTGTCCCATCCTTGTTCTCCAGCCTTGTCCGTCACCCCATCCTTGGTCTCCAGCCTTGTCCCATCCTTGGTCTCCAGCCTTGTCCCATCCTCGTTCTCCAGCCTTGTCCGTCATCCCATCCTTGGTCTCCAGCCTTGTCCTTCACCCACCCTTGGTCTCCAGCCTTGTCCCATCCTTGGTCCCCAGCCTTGTCCTTCCCCCCATCCTTGGTCTCCAGCCTTGTCCCATCCTTGGTCTCCAGCCTTGTCCTGCATCCCACCCTTGGTCTCCAGCCTTGTCCCATCCTTGTTCTCCAGCCTTGTCCGTCACCCCATCCTTGGTCTCCAGCCTTGTCCCATCCTTGGTCTCCAGCCTTGTCCTTCCCCCCACCCTTGGTCTCCAGCCTTGTCCTATCCTTGGTCTCCAGCCTTGTCCTTCCCCCCACCCTTGGTCTCCAGCCTTGTCCCATCCTTGGTCTCCAGCCCTGTCCTTCACCCCATCCTTGGCCTCCAGCTTTGTCCCATCCTTGGTCTCCAGCCTTGTCCTTCACCCCACCCTTGGTCTCCAGCCTTGCCCTTCACCCCACCCTTGGTCTCCAGCCTTGTCCTATCCTTGGTCTCCAGCCTTGTCCTTCACCCCACCCTTGGCCTCCAGCCTTGTCCCATCCTTGGTCTCCAGCCTTGTCCTTCACCCCATCCTTGGTCTCCAGCCTTGTCCCATCCTTGGTCTCCAGCCTTGTCCTGCATCCCACCCTTGGTCTCCAGCCTTGTCCCATCCTTGTTCTCCAGCCTTGTCCGTCACCCCATCCTTGGTCTCCAGCCTTGTCCCATCCTTGGTCTCCAGCCTTGTCCTTCACCCCACCCTTGGTCTCCAGCCTTGTCCTATCCTTGGTCTCCAGCCTTGTCCTTCACCCCACCCTTGGTCTCCAGCCTTGTCCCATCCTTGGTCTCCAGCCTTGTCCTTCGCCCCACCCTTGGTCTCCAGCCTTGTCCTATCCTTGGTCTCCAGCCTTGTCCTTCACCCCACCCTTGGCCTCCAGCCTTGTCCCATCCTTGGTCTCCAGCCCTGTCCCATCCTTGTTCTCCAGCCTTGTCCTTCACCCCACCCTTGGTCTCCAGCCTTGTCCTTCACCCCATCCTTGGTCTCCAGCCTTGTCCTTCCCCCCACCCTTGGCCTCCACCTTTGTCCTGATCCCTGACCATGGGGCCACGTTCGTGTGGAGCAGGAGCACGGGAGGGCTTGTCCCCTTCAGGAGGGATTGTCCCCTTCGTGTCCCCTGCCCTGGGGCTGCTCCACGTGAGCTGGGGACACGTTTCACCCCTCGGAGGAAATCCCGGGGGCAGGTGCCCGGGATAAATCCCGGCTCCGTGGCCCGTGCCAGGACCAAGGGGTCCCCACCTGCCCCCGGGGGCCGGGGGGACACTCAGTGCTGCTCCATTTTCCCCATCCCCTCCTCCCCACACCGACTTAGGGTTAAAAACCCAAATTAATCCCCCCTCCCTGAGGTCCCAGTGGCCGCCAAATGGCAACCACGGCACCCTTGGGTGCTGGGGGGGGGTCCAGGGGCGGGGCAGAGGGGTGAAACACAGCCTCCCCGTCACGGGTGCTGGGTGACCCCACTCTCAGCAGCTCAAATGCCACCGGGGGTGGGGGGGGGGACTGGGTT